AAGGGGTTCAGAGGAGTGGGAGGGGAAGGGGATGTGAAAATGAACAAAATGTATGTATGAAAGAATCTTTTTGTATATACATGTGCAAAAACCCCACAACTCATTTAGCCTCCCATAGTTGAGGATCACACACACACACACACACACACACACACACACACACACACACACACACCATTTTCTTTGGTGTGTTCAGGTGTAATTTAGAAGAGAAACACGATATTTTCCAATGAATGCTTATATTACGTAAATGTATCCCCAAACAAACATTTAAGTAAGCCTTATAAAAGGACAGGGAAATGCAAGCATGGGCAGCTGTTTAAGGACTATATTAACCTTTCCCTTTCTGACATAGATATTTCTGTGGAACTCTGTGTATCTAAGTCTGGTATTTTTACCAATTGAGTTTTAAATGACATCCTCTTGTTTATAAGTGAAGAAAAGCATTCTGGTCTTCTTAGTTGTAAATAGACTCTTGATTTTGAGCTTTATGATTTTAAAATGACTAAAAAAAATCATCTAAGTTGATTGGAGTTTTTTTATCCCAAAAGTGATTTACATGCTTTTCTTGTGCTTTCATAGGAGCCTTGAGGAAGAAGGCTATGCACTTGGAGAGCTGTGAAGGGTAGACATTGCTGTCTTATCTCTATTATGTATTTTACTTAAACCCCCAATGATATTGAAGTTGAATTCGGGATACATGAAACAAAATACTGAAGAGAAATGTATGTTTGAGACTTAAGCAGTTTTTGTTCTGAGCTGTTACTCTGGAAGTGCTGTTGAGAGTCTGTGGCCTAGTCTGTCATGGTGGCAAACTCCTAGCCACCCCAACACTCAAATGGCTGCGTCAGAAGGACCATGAGTTAGAGACCTGGCTAGGCTGCATAGGGAGCCTTGCTCTCCGGGTTACAGCTTAGTTGAAAGTAGGCTAAGTTCACCGTTTTACCCTTCAAACCTCAAGCTAGCCACCTAGTAAACTCTTTTCATGCTGTATTTAAAATGGAAAACATCAAGAATAAGGGGTATGTGTGTTTCTGTTGGTCCCAGCGCTAGGGAAGTTGAGGTAAAATGATCTAAAATTAGATACCAGCCTGAGCTGAATGGTGAATTCCTGGAGATACTGGGCCTTGTGGTGAGACCTGGTCTCAAAAAGCAAAGCGAGGAAAAGTCTGGAAGAAGGGTAGTGGTCGAATGCTTGCCTTGGCACATACAAGCCCCAGATTTAACCACTACAAGGAGAAATAAGAAATCCTTAACACTCTTAGTCTGTTTTCATATTCTATGCCACTTCTGACTAAAAATATTAGATGGTTCGTGCATTTTAATATCCTGGGGAGAATTTCTGCCAAGTTAAGAACTCAAGTCATTGTCTTACCACCCCTCCCATCTCCCCTGTGATTAGACGTGGGCATGCCTTAGGAATTGGCGGATCCCAATTTCTAGACTAAGAGCCTGGGGACCAAGCACTGACACACCACAGTCTTCCTGAGCTAGCTGGTGGGACAGTTTTATTCCCAGTTAGAAACTGGTTTGAAATTATTTTAAATCAGCAGGGATTTGATAGTGAACAAGTGACTGTTTTCCTAAATGACTTCTACTCTTTATACAAGTATTTTCTTATATGAGAGGAAGTTTTGTTTTTTAACTTGGAATTTTTTTTATTTGTTTGTTTGGTTGGTTTTTTTTGTTTGTTTGTTTTGTTTTTGTTTTTGTTTTTTTTTTAGTTGTTTTGGCTTTGGTGAAACGTAAGTCATAGGGTGCCTGAAATTCTACATTAGGGTTGGTGCTTTGGGGTATCTGGTGAGTTTTCAAATGTCACTCAGTCAGGTGAGGTGAGTGTAACAGTTGACACAGTGTCTTCAGTGTGGTGTTTGAGAAGGAGCACCATGTGAACCCGCCTCTTGGAGTCTAACCCTTTACACCACTAATGTGTATGACCTATGAGCCCTGCTGCTGCAGCTCCTCAGCTCTTACGTAATATTTGGTGTCACACATTGATTTGCTGCTCTGTGCCTCATGCTGTTTTATTGTTATAGCTTAGTCCAGCACTTCTGCACAGGAAGTGGCTTATCTTCACTAGGTGCGACTTGCTGAATGTGTTACTGTGCCCTCCGTTTGCAGCTGTGGAAGCCCTACCTTCTGCTTGTCCGGTTTAGCAGGTGCTCAAGTTTGTAAAGGCTTAAAAAACGGCATGAGCTTGCATCCAGAGCCAGGGTAGCAAGCTAAAGTTCATTTTTAATTTTCAGGTATATTCTACCTGAAGGAAAACAATGTTCTAAAATACTTGACTTTATGGCCTATGTAGTAGAGCATGCCTTTCTTTAATCCTAGCACTTGGGAGGCAGGGGCCCCTGTGAGTTTGAGGCTGGTCTGGTCTATATAGTGAATTCCAGTGTGTTCCTGTATACAGAGAATACAGGTGTATTCCTGCATTCGCAGTGCAAGCCAGCTGCTGCGCTTTGTTCAACTAGCCGGGCAGGAAGCGGTATGTACGTGGAGCTCTCCATACACTGCCCCTTAGCAAGTTCCTCCTCAGATGGAAAACTTGCCAACAGGTAGATGCTACTGTCTGTATGAGCCAGAAATACATTCCTTTGTTGTTGTCTTACCTGCCTTTCTCCTCTCCCCAACCCATGTGAGCTACGAGTATGGTGCCCAGACTTGGCACGTGGTGATGCTTCTGTTACACCTAGCAGATCAGCACAGTGGATCTTTGAGAAGGCTGTTCCTTATTACGTCTTGCAAATTAAAATGCGGCCGTTTTATTCGGGACCCTTTATTTTGATATGAGCAGCATTGCCTTGTTCCCCTTTTCTCAGTTACAAGAACGTCTGCTTCAGGCTGGATGCTTTGAGCCAGAGTGAAGGCTGAAAAAACATCACACATGAAACCATGCTCGTTATTGTGTAAACTTAAAATATCTTTACTTGGTTACTGTAGAAGATATAAGCTATTAAATAGTTATTATTTCCTACAGGCATTTGGGATTAGCAAAATCATATTCTGACTGCTTTCGATGATCCTCAGTTTTGTAGCTGTTTTTGAGGAGTTAGAAACATCTTTATCTTTAGCTGTAATCATAATTATTTTTGTTTTATGGTACTGGCATATTAGCCAGGAATTTAACATTCTGTTGTTTTTTTTTAATGTATTGCAAACTTTTACATTAGAATGATCTGTATTAGAGGGTGATATGGTGACATTTATAAAAACTAGACTTTTCTTTCCTGTTGTAAACTGTCTTAAATTTAAATTATTTGTTTTATGTGTAAGTTTTGCTTGCATGTATGTATGTTCACTGCATGTGTGCAATGCCCATGGGGACCAGAAGAGGGCATTGGAACTGGGATTATAGATGGTTGCCAGTCATCATGTGGGTGCTGGGAATAGAACCCAGATCCTCTGGAAGAACAGCCAGTGCTCTAAACAGCTGGGCCTTCTGCAGGAGTAGTATGTGCTCTGAACTGCACCTCTTTAGCCCCACAATAAGTTTTAAAGCACCATTTTCCTTAACTTCTTTCTGAAAACTTAATGACTTTACAATATTGTTGATGTGAGGGAGACAAAAGAAGAGACTTAATTTTTTTTAAATTTAAGCATAAAGAATCTTCAGACTTAAAATTTGGGTCAAGGGCTGGGATTATAGGAAGCTCGGTAATAGAACAAATTTGTTCTTTGGTTGAAAATGTAGTTCAAATGGATCACAACCTAGATTAATTTCTTCTATAGTTTGGATGTGTTTAACAGAGCTTTGAACTTATAATTTATACTCAGCCCTTTTGGTCTCTCCACCCAGCATGTATATGCATGTGTGTTACTCCACTTATCCTCACCAGTACCTATTAGTTCAGCTCTAGGGGGACAGGGACAGGAGAATTACTGAAGCCTGCTGGGTTCTGGCCTCACCAAAAAAATGGTAGCCTTTGGGAAAAGACCTCCAGTCTCAAAGGAAAATGACAGAGGCTAGCACTCAGCACCTTATTCTGGTCTCTATGCATGTGCAAAAGTGCCCACATGTGTGTATGCATGCACACACACACATACACACCACAAATGAAAAAAATACATGTTGAGAAAAAGAAAACTTGAAAAGATAAAAGACAACACTTTAAGTGTTCATTCATTAGTGAGCATTCCATGGATCAGTCTTCCCAGAGACCAGCTCACCCAGCGCTGGACAGAAAGGCAGGCAGTTCAGTGCCAAAGTGAGCACTCTAGGGTCTTCTCAACAGAATGGTCATGTGTTCTTCTTTAGACAGATTTGAAGCGCTCTGGATACCCTAATTCCTAGAACTTGACATTTACTGTAAAAATAGTGTAGTTCCCCCACAGAATTTCAGCTATATGCTTGAGTTAATATATAAGGAACTTTTTAAATAGGAGTCATTGAGATGGCTCAGTGGGTAAAGGTGCCTGCCAAGCCTGACCACAGAGTTCAGTGCACTGGACCCACCTGGTGGAAGGAGACTAACTCCTGCCATTTGCCCTCTGACCTCTGTGCTGTGGCACAGAGCTGCTCTCAAATAAACACAGAGACCTATATTAATTATAAATACTCAACCAATAGCTCAGGCTTATTACTAACTAGCTCTTACATTTTAAGTTAACCCGTATTCCTTATTTGTGCTCTGCCACGTGGCAGCACCTTTATTAGCATGGCACATTCATCTCCTGCTCCCTCTTCGTCTAGTTGATGACTCCAGACTTCACCCTTCTTCCTCCCAGCATTCTCCTAGTCTAGCTCTCCTGCCTAACCATATTCTGTTGAGCTCTTGGCCAGTCAGCCTATTAAATCAATCACAGCAACTTACATTCACACAGTGTAAAGGAATATTCCACAGCATAAGTGAGCCTCCCCTAACTTATACACTAAATGTAGTAATAATAAAAAAATAAAGCTGGGATTACATTTTAAAATGAAAAAGTTAGGTACCACTAAGTGAAAACATCATGTTTTATGGCATGAATGTATAAGTTTTCCTTTCAATTTCTTATTTAAGGTCTCAGCCGGTTTCTTCTCCAGTCATCCTCCAGTTTGGTCATGCAGAGACCCTCCTGCCACTGCTCTCACTCATGGGCTATTTCAAAGACAGGGAGCCCCTGACAGCCTATAATTTTAAGGAGCAAGTCCATCGCAAGTTCCGAAGTGGTCGCATCGTACCTTATGCCTCGAACCTGATATTTGTACTTTACCATTGTGAAAACGCAAAGACCCCTCAAGAAGAATTCCAAGTACAGTTGCTGCTGAATGAAAAAGTGTTACCCTTGGCTCACTCACAAGAAACCGTTGCTTTGTACGAGGATCTGAAAAACCACTACAAGGACATTCTTCAGAGCTGTCAAACCAGCAGAGAATGTAACCTACCCAAAGTGAACATCACGTCCGACGAGTTGTGAGGAGCTGGGGACAGGCTCAGTTCAGCACTGCTTTCCTGAGGGCAACTGTGTTGGCAATGGGTAGGCAACTTCTTGATTGAGAAAGCTTTTAAGGCTTAACTTCTTGATTGAGAAAGTTTTCAAGGCTTGGGTGTTGTGATGTATGCCTTTAATCCTAGCACTCTGGAGACAGGCAAGAGGATCTCTGTGAGTTCAAGGCTAGCCTGATCTACATAGTGAGTTCTAGGCCAACCAAGGTTACATAGAGAAATAACCATAGATTGCTTGGTCCTTCTGTCTTTTCACAGAAAATAATAATTTTAGGATCAGGACATACGGGTAAAACATGACTTTCCCTGAAGCAGCTTTCTTTGAGGCAAAAACCAATTCCAGGCAACAGCTGGCCCAGTAAGTGTTTACAGAGCTTAAATTGCCCTAACTTAACCTAAGAAATTCACTGGGATAGAACACTTGAGAAGTGTTGGATACCAAAGCACAGTGTCAGCTGGATGATCTGTAATTGACTGAATAAGTCAGGGACTTCAGTGATTATGTTGACTTCTTCCTTATCCTTCATATAGGACACTTCTAGCACAAATGACATCACTTAGTCATGAATGTGGTAAAGTGGGAGCCTGACTCCAGAGGAAAATCTAATATAGTTAGTTAGTTCCATGTAGAGGGGAGTTTGACATGATGTTAAGAACCAGGCTGAAGCAAGACTGAAAGTGTGGAATATTTTTTGCTAATATTATTTATAAAAATCTTTAAACACTTCATCAGTCATTTTCTTCAGCCTCCAGGTAGGTCTTTCAGGGTCATTTGAATTCCATCAGGCCTGTTTGAGGTGTGCAGTGATAACAGAAGGCACGCTAGGCAGGCAGATGCCACTGTTTCTATGTCTATTGCCTGGCTGTCGTTTTCATTCCATCACGGCTTTCCTTCTTATGTTTTGTTATTACATAAGGTATCTTTTGGTGGTTTGCATTTTTCTTTTGTTAAATAAAGACTATTCTGCCTGATTTCATTGTATAAATTTAAACCTGTTTCAAAGAAATTCTGAGTTCTCTCAAATGCCATGCAAGTGTTTGCTACAATAAATAGAGTTCTTGTGACTTTACTACCAAGTCATTTCTTCATTCAGTCATTGCTAGTAAGGGGTTGGAATTTCAAGTGTTTGGCTTGGCGAGACAAACCTTTTTTCTTCTAGGGAATGGGCTATTTTAATGCCTCTTGTCCTAATTTGTATTCACTTTAAAGATGATGCCTTTCAAAGAGGATTTGTTTTTTGTGGAAATGTATGGTTAATCTTTTCAAAGCATATTGGTTCAATCTCAGTTTAGCACGATCTGGTAACTTTATAGTTCACTTGTGAGGAAGGGAACCCTCTGAAAACACACACAGTGAGGCCATGCATGTATCTGGAGAAGCATCACCTGTGATGTGCATGAGGACATCGCAGCCACATTTCCACTAGTGAAAGAGAAAAGTCATTTTAGGCTTTCAAGGAAAGCTAAAATGATACACCGTTTTGGTACCTATCAGTATGCTTCCTAGTTAATGCTTAATCAGATACATTTTTTGGTCAGTGGAACTATGTGCTAATTTAATAGTAAGACTATGAACTAATTTAGGCACACAGTTAAAAATGAGACTATGCACTAATTTAGGGACATGGTTAAAAGATTTTTACTGCTGACTTTTGAAAGTAAACTCTCCTTTTCCTATTTTGTAAAATATAACTAGAGGGGCCAGCAAGATGGCTCAGTGGGTAAAGATGCCTGCCTGAAAACGTTAGTTTGATCCTCTGAGTTCACCTGGAAGGAGAGAACAGATATATATGCACGTTTAAGTGAATTTTTAAATATATAACTGGAGGCATATTTAAAATTAATGAGTCACTGGATTCTGTGACATTGCCAATACCTTTTTGAATGGAATTTTCTAAGGTTAAAAGAAGTAGTACTGATGAATAAAGAAACAAGACAACACTAGGGGCCTTAAATATGATGTTCATGCTGTGTAAAGATACACAGCTTTTTCAAAAACTAAACTATTCTAGAATAGCAAGTATTCAGAACTGGGCACTGTGATGCTTAATGTGAACAATTAAGAGACATACCTCTGGGCAGGTCTGAGGGGTACTTCCAGGAAGATTAGCATTGGGGAGTATCCTTCAGTGACATCAGATACCAGCAGCTTTGGATTTCCAACAGGGATTGAAGACTAGTAACTTTCCAGGACTCATCGAGTCCTTCAGCACTGTATTGGGACTGCTGAAGCATTAGGCTTTGTAGCCTGAGCAGAAACAGGTTGTCACCCTCTAGCCACTGTGGGGACTACCTGTCCTTATTGGCTATAAACCATTCTAGTGTACTGCCACACATTCACACATCTAGAGAGGACCCTGCCCAATACAGATGTGAAAGAAATTCATCTACCTCTTCTTCCAGAACACAAATCCTGAAAAGAAGGTGTGGTTTAAATGAAAATGATCTCATAGACTCCTATAATTGAATGCTTGGTTCCTAGTTGGAGGAAGTGTCACTGGGGGTAAGCTTTGCATGTGACTGTGACCCTGAATCTGTCACAGATCACTTTAATTGTCTCTTAGCCATTCTTCTGATTCAGGTTTTTTTCTTCCTAGCATATGGCAGCCTGTTTCATTTGCAAGCACCCTCATTAAGTCATCTCTAACTTACTTATGTTTGAGAGCAGTGTTTCGTGTGACAGGTCCGAAGCAGAAAGAGATTTGTCTCCTCCTTCATACCTGGTCGTTTGGAAGGAGGGTAACTTTGCAGGCTTTTTATTCCTCCTTCAGCCATCTTTCCATGCGGCCACCAGGATGCCTATGAGGCAAATGCCAGGTCCTTCCCAGGCCATACTGCAGTCTCTATCTGGTTCCTAACTGATGAGGAAGTATCCCCATTGGTGACTTTGAAATCACGCATGATTACAGAGCTGGGAAGAGTGTCGTGACCTTCTCGGGAAGGTTAGAAAGTAGAGAGACCAGCCTCAGGTCTGATGTGAAGATGATGATGACGATGATGACAGGGTACCCTGTACCCATTATGTCAGTTTAGTTCCGCTGTACTGGCAGCCTCCGCTGGCATCATGGACCATGAAGAAGCAGGAAGAAAACACACCGGAGGAGAGATTCCAGGCTTGGTTTTCTAGAGATAGAAATAAAATGGGGGCATTTGTTGTTAATTACTGAAACTGTGAGTTTTAAGACAAAGATGATTAGTTACAAAACCAACCTTAAAATAGTATCTTTTGTGTAATCCTGAATTTTAATCCTACTCTATAGATCCAAGCATTGTGTATCCACACTTTTTTATGGTACTAGAACATGAAGTGTTGGTTAATTAAAATAACAGCCTTCTTAGTTGGGCAATCTTTTACAGTCAGGAAACAATATTTATTTTATTAGTTGCATGTAAAACAGCTAATGTGGAAAATGAAATTAGGGTGAAAGTCTCATATTTCCCCAGGGTTCGTTCTGCCAAGTTTAATTCTGGTTTGTCTTGTCCTTTTCTTTGTTCCTTCCTTTATCTTATTTTTTTAGAATAGGTTATTGGGTACACTACAAGAGAGCAGCAGGCTGGGTGATAACTAGAATACCACCAGTAGGCAATATGGATTGTCCTGACTGAATATTAGCAGCGTGGGCACGAGGGATGGAGAGAAGGCTCAGTCTGAACAGTGCTTGCTGTACAATCCTGAGCGCCTGCGTTTGGATCCGTGGCATCCATGTAAAAGGCCAGGCACAATGGCACACGAGTGTAATTCCACATAGACGGTGACATACAGAGGTCTACATCTCTAACCATGTTGCAGGCTTCAGGTTTTTCTAGGAAAGAGAGTAAAGTTGTCTGAGCCACACTCAAACTTTTCAAACCTTCTAACTTTTGCTCTGGACATTTACTGGAGATAAGACATTAACACCTTTTCAAACAGTTCAAACTGCTGTTGGCCTCTGTGGAGGGATCACTTCCTAGAGTGTTGTCACTGCTACTAAGGTATCAACAATGGACCAAATGAATGATTTCACTGAGTCTGGCTTTGTGAACCTTTGAGGTTATCAGGCTTACTTAATGGAACACGGACTACCCTGAAACACCTGTGTCGCCAGAAGTCCCAACCAAGCATGGGCGACAACCTCTCAAAAGCTGTAAAGACAGAGGCCCCCTTGGTTAACTATTTACCTCCTGCCCACTATAGCACTCCCTGGACCATGTGCAGCTGGGCACAGTTACATGGGGAAAGGGAGCACTGCTGCTCAGGAGGTAGGACATGGCTGGACTCTAGGGTAAGTCTTTGATGCCCCTCCCCCGCCTCCTGGGAACGAATGAGGACAGGTAAGTCTTTGATGCCCCTCCCCCTGCCTCCTATGAACGAATGAGGACAGGCCCAGTCTTGCTGTGGCTCAAAGCTGATGATTCAGATACTAACTTCGATATTATGCTTACAGGGTAGCATTCTGCAGCAACCCCACACCTTAAAAGGAAAAGAAAAGAAAAAAGTAGAAGAAAGAAAATGCTAAAAAGCATGGCTAGCAGCCCTACACAAACGAGACTTCAGAAATCCCTTTCCACCAACTGAAACCTCTGATTACAATGTATTTCATAAGCACTTTTCTAGATGGATACCTGTGTATACTGGTATTTGCAAAAGTCAGTCCCAAGGGAATGATATACGATGTAATTCTCCTACCCAGTGATAGATGTGGTGTTAGGTTATTAAATAAATTCTGTGTAGTAAAGAATAGCACTGGGTAGGAGATATTACAACACCCAACATGCATTGGAACAGATAAGGATAAATTTTCCTACTTTTATCCTCATACTGAGCTTAGTACTATGAGACCCGTTTAGCCAGTGAGAAAATGGCAAAAATTAGTGTGCTTTTTTTTTTCTTCTAACACTTTCTGCACTGTCTAAATTTGCTACATCTCCCTCAGGGCTAGGCGTGAAATTAGGACAAGTTTATTTGGGGCTTTGTACTATACGAACTGTTTCCGTGACGCAGACTAATTGTGAGTTACTCTACTTGCTTGATTCATCATTGCAATAAGTGTGTTTTCTAGATGCCACTGACCTTTGCCCCTGGAGCATTGCTTAGACCAAAATGATGTAGGAAATGGAAGATAAAAGCAAAAAAAGATCTGTGGATGAATTGTTCTTAGGGCTGCCAGCTCACACACACACACACACACACACACACACACACACACACACACAAATGAGATTTATTAATTATGAAAGCTCGGCCTTAGCTTAGGCTTGTTCCTAACTGGTTCCTACAATGTAAATTAACCTTTATCGTTTCATCTACATTCTTTCACATGGCTCGATTACTTTTTTACTCCACACTACCCATTCTCCTTCCTCTCTATCTGCCTGGCGGACTCTCCTTTCTTCTTCCCAGAGCTCTCTGTCCCAGAAGTCCCGCCTAACTTCTTCCTCCCTAGCTAATGGCCATCCAACTCTTCAAGAGCCAATCACAGTGACACATCGTCACACAGTGTAAAGGAATGTTCCACAACCACAACTGGAGCCTCATGCACAACCTCTTCAGTTTCTCCCGTCTCCCAAGCCAGCTGACTATGCCACTTAGTCTAGGAGGCTTTCTCAGTTAGTCAAGGGGTGGGACAGGTTCCTTGATTCTTTTCTCTTAACCACACTTATATTTTGGGGGGTGGGGGTGCCAGTCACTGTGCACAAGTGGCAGTCAGAGAACAGCTTGTAGGAATTGCTTCTCTCCTTCCACCATGTGGGTTGGAACTCATTGTTGGGCTTGGCAGCAAGTGCCTTGACCCTCTGAGCCATCTTGTGGTCCAGGTCTATTGATTCTTATATTAAACTGTATCATAGAATTGTCTCTGAAGTTTCTCAGAGCAAGCAAGGCATAACTCACACCTTGTTGGAGCTTTTAAAGCCAGGTGCAGTCCATACCTTGATTTAATTCCAGACACAGCTAAGTGACAGCACGGCCTTGTTTCCCCTTTTATTGGTTTTATAACAAGACTGTTAGGGCAATAACTATGAATCTGTCATGAGGTTAAGTAGAGATAAAATATGACGGGAACTCATATATTTTATGTCCACACTGCACATT